CGGGGTGTCGGGTGCGGTGCGTCACGAGTCACGACTCACCATCTGAATAGATATACAACCTCAGACAATACTCTCAAGACTCCCAAGAGTTCGAACCAGAGGCAACAACCAATCACAATAAGATACCTGCGACTCTGCGAGGCTACGAGGCTACGAGGATGCGAGGATGCGAGTCTGCGAGGGTAACAAAATAAAAGTACAACAAGCTGAAGTGAAGCAATTTTCTGAACGGCCTCTGCCTGCCCGGCTATAGGCTCTCATGCTACGGGCCTAGGCCATATGGCCTCCCATCCTAGTGATAGCCCGGGCTTGCTTTTCGAACAACGCAGCCAGCGCAAGTATCTGCTAAATCTCTCTCTCTCTCTCTCTCTCTCTCTCTCTCTCTATGTCTCTCTCTCTCTCTCTCCCTCCCTCTCTCCCTGTCTCTGAGTCTCCGTCTCTTCGCGGCCAAGCGATAACCCGTGCGTCTGTTGAAGAGTGGCCTCCATTTTGCGCAGCAACCGCTGCGCCTGAGCTCGCCGATCTATGGGGGCAGGAATCATCGCCGATGGTGCGCCCTGTGCTTGCTGCCCTTGCGGCCCGAGTCGTGTCCTCGGTCTCACTCGTCGCCCTCCTTCATCATCTCCATCTGCCGCCCGTGGTTTGGGTACGTAATCGGAGTCCCCTGCATCATCAGTGCCTGTGGTCTCTCCCGGGGCGACATCCGTGCTGTCATCGTGGACGATAAGTACACTGCCACGTCTCTTTTGACCTGCCACTGCATTCCCTGTGCCCTCCCTGCCGACGATATCTGTCGTCGTTGCATCCCTCCCTCCAACATCCAATGCGTCGCCGTCAGGTGCAATCTCTCCGTCCTCGAGATGCACAACGCCCGATCCTCTCTCTCGGGAACGCATATGTGAGGATGAACGTGACGCCTTCCTTGCCGAGGCCTTCTTCCTTGCCCGAGAAAGACTCGCCTTTGCGGCTCTCGTAGCATGGACATCAGACGTCTTCGTCGGCAAAGCACTCCCGTGTCGGTCCTCAAACTCGGCCATGGCGGTGTGCCGAGCACCATCTACACTCCCAATGGATCGTTTCCCCATAGACGGTGCAGATGGCCTACCAACATTCCGGACTCCCTGCTCATCCATCCCCCCAGTACTCTTCCCGCTTGCATAAAATGCCACTGTCGGCAAAACAGTGGCTCTGTCGCGCCGTGCTGTCGCCGATGACCCAACCACAAGCTGTTCTGTCGCGTCTGCGCCACTGTTTGTGACGGGGACGCCCGCATCTGCGCCGACAGCCGCGGCAATCGGATGATGCTCTAAGTTTGACGGCGGACTTGGGGGTCTTGCTTCTCTTTCAAGTGTGTCAACTGGCCCACCATGAGACCCTTCCTCTGCGCCGTCAAACGAATGAGAAAGACTGCGTTGTGCGATGCTGCGCTGACCGTCGCGGCGGTGTCGCGTCGCCGTCTCCGCCAAACCAAGGGCCTCCTCACGTAGTTTGCCAACACGAAAAATTGTGGGCGTGGCAGATACCATTGGGCTCGTAATCATATTGGCGATATCGCCTCCTGCCACGTCAAACCCGT